CGTTTATACAACAGGTCGACGGCCCAATATTGTACATAAAAAGAAAATCAAACACAGAGAGACTAAAACCCTTTTGTATTAGGAACTACTTTCTTCCGCCATTCATTCAGTCAGAACAGCAGAAGCCGTTACTAATTCACCAACGTCACTTTAGAGCTAGTATTTGAGTGATTCTCTATAGCGTAATGTGAAGCGGCGCTTCTGGTGTGTGACCTCCTTAAGGTGATGACAGCAAACTTTGCTCACATTTTAAGAATATAAGGCTGAATGTGACATGAAATGCCATCCGTCTACAGAGATTTCTCACCAGACTGCTGTTGTGTTTGCGATAAGGAGGGACAAGGCTGAATCCAGCTTCCTATTCGCAGCTTCTTATTGACTATCCGGTCCACTTTAAAAATCTTGAGGCTTCCGTTTTTCAGCTTTTTATTTGCGCTCAAGAGAACACACTGAGCAAGGGCTTACTATGCAGTTCTGGCGCAATCTTGTGGATAGACAACGTCAACCGTCTTTGGCTGCCGACGAGCTCTCAGAAATTGTGAATATTTTAAAATACGCACTATTCTTACAAATAAACTGCATAGTTGCAACCTGAACAACTACATTCTCGACTAAAAAAGCCTTAAAAGCACATTTTGTTGTCTAACAACAGTAATATTTGTTAAACTGTGGCGTCTTTGCTTGTTGCAAAAGTGAAGGGTGAAGAGGCCTTTGTGTGATGTTACTGGCAAAACATCGCACGGCTATCAGCCAATCAGAGTCAAGAACCAGACAGAACTGTTGTATCATATATATATATATATATATATATATATATATATATATATATATATATATATTACAAAGACAAAACTTTTGTTTGTCTTGTTATTTAATTCTTGCTAATAGTGCTAATAGTCAGGCACACTATACTTTTAATATGAATTAAAAACTAAAATACACTGGGGGAAATAAGTATTGAACGTCATGTTTTTTCTTGTGAATAATATTTTTAAAGCAGGTGTTGACGTGGAACTGAACCAGATTTTGGTAAAAACCCAAACAATACAAACAAAAAAATAAAACAAAACAAAATCTGAATGAGTTATGTGCAAACACAATGCAATGACAAGGACTACAGAAATGACGTGTTGGTGAGGTGTTCAATTCACCTCTCATGTGGAGAATGAAGTCACATGAATTGCTCAGGTGTGAGTTTTTCACAGACTTAACAGAGTGTGAAAATCTTAATGATTCTGTGGGCCTCGTCTATCAAATCTTTATTTTGTATTTTCTATTGGAGTCAAGTCAGGGGCTTGGCTGGGCCATTCTACAGCTTGATTTTCTTTATCGGAAAGCATTTGAGAGTTTCCTTGGCTGTGTTTTTGGTCTTGCTGAAATGCCCACCCTGGTGTCATCTTCATCCTCCAGCTTATGTAGATGTTAGACTGAAGCAGCTGATATTCATTTAACATAACGAAGGGCAGAGGGTTGCTGAAGAACCACTGAGAGATTTCAACTGCTGTCTGGGCTTTCCATGACACCTCCCTTTCTTCATGTATTCAATACTTTTTTCCCTGTGTCATTTCATTTTATTATGCATAACCCAATTTAAAAAAAACAAATTCGATTTGTTTTCTTTGCATTTATGGGTTTCTTTGGTTGTTACTAACATCTGGGGAAACTTTCACGTGAAAGGCACCTTTAGAAATATGAAAAATGGTGACGTGTTCAATACTTATTTTACCAGCTGTAGATGTTAAAATATTTATTTTATTTTTCGCGTCACAAATTTCCACACAGAAAGGTTTAATTTGACATTGAATTAACTTGATAAAACTATAATTATCGTTATTGTAAGTGCTGTTATTAAGCATTTTTGCATAATCGCATATTTATTTTACATATTGGTTTCATATTTCATCCTTTAGTAATTTAAGGTCATAATATTTTGTATTAATTTAGCTGAGGTGTATTTATAAATGTAAATGTGTTGAAAGGTTTATATGTGTTATTATTTCATATGTTGTAGTTTAAGACATTTATTATGGAAACATGTCACTTTGAGGAAATGACGTGTAATGTGAGTTATTTGATTATGGATCCCCGGATGGACTGACGACGATCAGACGCATGTCAGTGCTGTGTAAAGTTTAAGAATCATAAAGTTGCTGCTGTCATAAGTCAAAGGACAGTGAAGAAGACTTTATTAATCCAAGGACCCTCTTTTCATGACAAGCGACCAACGAGGTATTTGTTTTGCTTAATAATGTATTAGATAATCGTAGTTTGTATAATTTCTTATACGTTTATACTGTGTTCATTTACTAATACAGTTCTCACGGCGTCACGGCAACAGCCGCAAAGCACATTATGGACGACTTTAAATAAACGCCCGTTCTAAAGAAACAACCTGTGTCTGTGTTGTTGTGAAGAGAGTTACAGTTATTACTACAGCTACCACTACAACAACAGTATTACGATATCCACTACTAATACAATTTCTAATAGGTTTTTTTTAGATGCGTACACTTATTTGTACAAAAGTGTAAATTGCTAAAATAATTTCAAACTATTAAAGAGAAAACTTTCCCAACAATTCTACATTTGGATTAACCTAGATCAGTGGTGTCCAAACTCGGTCCTGGAGGGCCGGTGTCCTGCAAAGATTAGTTCCAACCCCAATCAGACACATCTGGACGAGCTAATCAAGCTCTTAAGGCTCCTACACACCAAGACACATTTCGTATGTTTATCGCCAGTGATTTACGAGACATTTTTCCGCATTCAAACCCAAGCGATTTTCACTGGCGTCAAGCAGAAGAGTATGCAAAAATCACTCCTTGATGTTGACGCTACACAACTTTAAGCTTCCGACACCCGCTTGTAACAGAGAAGAGGAGAAGAAGTTCACACGCTTGTTGTTAAAGTTACTGGTGACTCGAATAAGCATAGATGGTTCACATAGTAGTGATTTGACGTTGTGCGTCGAGGCTTCGAAGCTTGTATCAAAAAAACAATACATCTCGCAGTGAAGCAGTGTAACTGAGCTTGATTCGTTTTGCCATCATCACGTGATCAGTAACATCCGAAGTTTCATTTTTGCCTATACCCACGTGACTGCTTAGAATTTTGATTCAAAGGTTTAAACACCCTCATGGGTTAGTAAAGTGTATAGCGAGATATTAGGCGCCGATTACATACATTTCTACTGTTTCAAAGCACTGCACTGGACACACACACCAGTAATTAAACTAAAATATAAAAGTAATTTAGAGTAAATAGGTTTTGAACCATACTAAAGTGTATTAGCGTAATTTTTACAACTATTTAAAAAAAAACACTGCATATCATAGTATAGTGTTTAATGGAGGCCAGCTGGGGAGTACAGCCTGAAGCGTCACTCTCATAGCCTCCTCCTTGGTTCTCAAACTGTGGTACGTGTACCACAAGTGGTACGCGGGCTTCCTTCTAGTGGTACATGGAGGAATGAAATATCTCATGTACATGCTACAAATAATTCAAAATTTATTAAAAATGATGTATATAATATGCCATATATTATATATAGGCTATATTTCTGAGGTAATCTGCCAGGTTTTTTAACTGTGCAGAGCTGTAGCTGCTTTACTGGGCCTACTACGCTGCTGTATTTCAATACTGCTCATTTTGGTGGTACTTGGAGAGACAATTTTTTGCTAAGGTGGTACTTGATGAAAAAAGTTTGAGAACCACTGTCCTAGAGCATTCGCCTCCCATGCAAGAACCGCTAGTTGGACTCCCGCTTGGAGCGAGTTGGTGAGTGAAGGATTAGTTGGAATATAATATATGTTAATACTTTTGAATTCCTTGGATTTTACTACAGTAAAGACTACAGTAATTGAGTAATGTGTTTATATTACTGTTGTTGTATTACTACATGAATGAGTTGATCGGTTGTGAACATTTGACAATATGCAACACAGTGCTTTCCCACACTTTAACCAGAAGAGGTCTTCGTCGAGCTCTGATTTAGAAAGCTTCGAGTAACGAACCTTTTTCCGATACAATTGAGTCGATTGCTTCACTGGTTCAGAAAGCTTCATTTCACCATCACTATCAAATAGCAGCTCCAGCTCTAGCAGTGAAGAAATGATTTTTGTTCAGCAGTGCAATCAGCAGCTTCAAGTTCATATCACCTCTGGGCATCTTCTTCAATGTGCGCTCGCATTGACAGTTTTGCGCTTGAGCGCCTCCAAGTGCTGTTTACTGTAACTTCAGCAGCTCCGTGCACGTGAACACAAGCGCCAACCTGATTGGTGCAGAAGGTTTTAATGCGGCACGTCAAATAAAATAAAACAGGCGTTCTTTTTTAAATGATGGTTTTGCGCCTGGCGTTTTGCCCTCTATATAGTCACGAGGCGTTATACGTTGACGGAAAACGCAAGCAAAAAACGTCTCCGTGTGCACGAGCCTTTACTAAGTTTTCTAGAAATGCCCTTGCAGGTGTGTTGAAGCAAGTTGGAACTCAAATCTGCAGGACACCGACCCTCACGGACCGAGTTTGGACACCCCTGACCTAGATGAATGGTATAAAAAAAAATACTATTAAATTAATCCTAATATAATTGTCATTTATAATATAATATACAAGCATTTTATTTCTACTCTTGATGAACACTAAACCCTACTCTTGTTGTTACACCCAAAAAAGTTCCTCAAAAACCCTTTTGTTCTGACCAAAAGACTCTTCTTGACTGAGCAAGATAAATATCTGTGTGCAGTGTTGTTTTACCAGAGAGACTGTAGTAGGATGTTACTTCCTCCTACTTTGCCTGTTTAAAAATGCAGAATGTGTTGATACACGAGAAGAACATTCCGGTCTCAGGTTTCAGAGGTGTTACACTTGCAGAACAATAGATTAGAGGAGTGTGTGTGTGTGTGTGTGTGTGTTCATCTGTAAGTATATGTGTGAATGTGTCTACATCTGCTGTGTAGAATAAAAAAATAATTGAGTTAGGTACTGAGACAATATAGCTACTGTTTAAAGTAAACTAAATTTAAATTAATTGTGTGTAATCTGCCTTTTTAAGCATGTGTTACAACCAGGGCTTTACATTAACACCCGCCAACCCGGCAAATGCGGGTAGATTTCAGCTCTGGCAGGTTAGACAGACACCTCCACTAGCCACTTTTGCTGGTTGGAAGTCATTTTTAAAATTGTAGGTTTCTTAGACCGCAGGTTCGACAAATAGCATGGCCCAATATTCGTGCAAATGTGATCTTAGAATCGAGAAGCAGCACGACTGACAAAAATAACTTAGTGCAAGCAAAAGAAAGCAGGTAAATACCGATGATCACTCGCGCGCACAGGTGATGTGATGCGCGCGACTGTTAAAAAGCATGCACGCTCCCGTTTACTTGGGCGAAAGCAACCGTGCCTAGAGGAAACGCAACTGGTGCGATCAGTTCCCTTTGAAATAGAATGGACAGAGAGCGATGCTCGTGCACCCACAGTCCTGCTGCAATCAAGAGCTCAAAATATTTTTTTAAAATCCCATATTCTTTGTAAGCAGCAGCGGTCACTGCTTTAATTTTAATTATTATTTAAATAGATTATTAACAGGCTTATATTAACCGTGTGATCATCCTTTCACTACGTTTCCCCTGCTTTCTTTTGCTTACAGTTATATTTTTTATTATGGTTTACGTTGTTTACCTTTATTAATATTTTCTACAGTAATATTGCTTTAATGGGAGATTAACTGGTGATCTGAGACTTTTAGACAGGGCAGGCATGTGGACATAACATAACATCTAAATCAAGGCATTTTAGCATGTCAAAGTCAAAATTTATGCATATAAAATATATTTTCCCAACAAAAAAAGTGTGGCTAGTGAAAATGGCGAGTGGCTAGTAATATTGGAAATCTACTAGCTATAGTGGCTGGTGATCAAAAAAGTTATTGTCAAGCCCAGGTTACAACTAACCCTCTGTCTGTTACAACTTGCCCCGCAGGTGGGGTAAATGGTAACATTTATACTCCTGGCACTTTTAGCAACACTGCACAGACACCATATGTCATACTTTCAGTGCTCATGTGTAGGAGAGGCTTGTGTTCTGTTGCTAAAAAAACAAATGGTTTGTCTTACCCCAATATTTTGTTTATTATTTGACCAAAACCAAAAATTGTTACTTTGTGCCCTGCTCTCCCCTAAATATCGCGGTTTCACGGTATCCTGGTAATGTGTTTACTGCTGATTTATTTAATTATTTAATTAAATAATTTATTTTTCAACATCTTAGTAAAAAAATAACCTTTTTTCCCCATTTAACACAACATATTACATTTTAGGAAACGTTTAGGATATTTTGGAAGACATGTCAGGCTACATAAATAAAATAAACCATCCACTTCTAGTATCTTCATCAGCTTCAAATACACAGATTTCCCTACAAGACGTAAATAAAAACACTTCAAAAACCCTCTACATATACCTTAGAAACGGTATAACCAAATATTTTTGCGGTATTAATACCTTGACTCTTCCAAACCACGGTAAACCTCGAAACCGGTTAACGTCCGATGCCTATATAGGGATGGTTAGGAGGCCATGATGCACAGTAGGCAGATTTGGCCAGCATGCTGGGGGTGAAACCCCTACTCCTTTTCTTCCTGGGATTTTTAATGACCACAAAGAGTCGGGAGCTCAGTTTAACATCTCACCCAAAAAACGCAGTATAGGAGTCCCCTTCACTATATTGAGGTGTTAGGACTAGGGTTGTAACGGTATGAATTTTTTACGGTATGATAATCGTCTAAAACAATACCACGGTTTGACGGTTTCGCGGTATACGGTATGTTACAAATGTTACAAAATAATAGAACAGTGAAGCAAATTTGACTTTTTCCAAATAATATATTTTAGTTACTATAAACAACACCACTTACAATGAACAAATAAAAAAATAAGAAAATAATAAATAATGTGTCAAAGTCCAAATAAAGTCCAAATAAACATGGTGCAAATCCTCAGTAAAAAATAGATATAAATATTTACTATACTATAAATAGTTACATAACGAAACTAGATTCAATATGGAACATCCTTAGGTTTTATGTGCCAGCATGGATATGGTTGTCTGTGGATATGGATTTGGATGTGGTTGTATGCAATGCAGACAAACAGCTGCACCTTCATTTGCGTCTTTTGAAAACAGCAAGAGCAGCAGTTCGTCTTTGCTGTGTCACTGTTTTGTCATGTTTCTGTGCTGCTGTGCATGCAAAAGTACTTAGTATGAGAATTATTTCATGCAAAACTTTTTTTTTTTTTGCGTTTTATTTAGCCGCGCATAAATGTATGCCTATCTCTCATTCCGTGTTGTTCAAAAAGCTTGGTCCACAAACAAAAGCGAAACCTATGCTTATTGGTTGTGATATAGCGAGTTTGAACCAATCTGGGCATGGAGGAGGGACAATGCATCAATGTATCATGTCTGATTTGTCCGGAGACACAGTGACGAGCGTTTCTTTGTCAAATCAGCGTTGTCAAATGTTGATGACGTAACCGCACTGATTCCGGAGCCTCTGAAAGTCCGCGAATGTTATGTGATACAGCACTGGAAAGCTGAGACTCTCTTCTTTATGCCAATCTTTGAATTGTATGAATCGGATCAGCGGATCAAAAGTTATTAAACATTTAAGAGCAATACTTATTTTTAGCCGCGGGCGGCTGTCTCGGTCTTTAAGGGTTAAAACCGTTGATATGCAATTGTTCATGGTATGATAATCGTGCACGTTCAAATCGTGGTAAACCGTCATACCGGTATATTGTTACAACCCTAGTTAGGACTCATACAAACTGCAGGCTGAGCGCCCTCTGCTGGTCTCACTAAAACCACTTCCAGCAGCAACCTGGCTTTCCCATGTGGTCTCCACCCAGATACTGACCAGGTGCAGCCCTGCTTATCTTCAGTGGGCGACCATGTGAGAGGTGCAGAGAGCTAGCTTCTGGTGATATTATATTTTATATACTAAATTTTATTTGTGATGTTTATATTCACTATATTTTATTTCTTATAGCTAAAAGAGTTTGTTATTTCCTCACGATTAATCCACCCACCGGACAGTTGCGCAGATCTCCAATGGTGCTGGCGGCTTGAAGCAGCTCCCCAAAGGTCTCTGGACGCAAGCGTTCATCTCTCCTGTCTAACACCTGTTGGCTGGAGCACAGAGAAAGAGCAACACCATTAGTAAAACAATTATAACAACAACATTATTAATTAATTGACATTGTGTTGTTTTCCTGAATCTTAACAAAAAATAGGAAATAATCAAGATAGGTAAAATAGGAGCTCTTTAATCTTCTCTTCTTTACACAGCAGGGGTAATAAGTTTGTCTTCACTTGTACATTGGCTGGATGGACTTACCAGAGGGCAGTGGTGGACACATAGTGCACCAGCTCAGTGAAGGGAAGCGGATCAGACGACGCACCACAGCTCCTGCACACTGACTGAACGCACACACAAACACAGAGAGAGTCATACATCACACATGATGACTGCAATATGATGTAAAGATTTAATTTCACCACAGTAAGTGATGTAAGAGACGTCTCAACACACACGCACTGTGAATAACCTGAGGGTGGAACCAATTCAAGCATTCCTTTTAGGGGCAAAACAAAAATGAATCCTTTCTGGTGTCGAAACAGCAAATCTGGCATTGCTTTATTTGGCAGGATCTCTCATTTACACACAATGCCTTAAAATGGGTTAAAGTATTATGCAATAGAAATACAGAAGACATATCTAGGATTTCTATGAAGTACGTTAATGTATGGGACACAGTTTTGGTTGTTAGTGCCTATATGGTAGTTATTTGGTACCACTGGCAAAATACATTTTAAAATAATGCTGTTTTCTATCTTAATAAATGTTCAAATGTCATCTATTCCTGTTAGGAAAGTCAGAATTTTTTATCATCATTCTTCTTAAATAATTAAACCAAATTAGAGCTAAATAATAATAATAATAATTGATAATAATAATAAATGATAATAATAAAATAAATAATATTAACGTTAAAAACATATGTGCTACCTACCTTTTTAGATCAAAATCACCATATTTAACAGAATTCGATCAAAAAAATAAATAAAAATATATGTAAATCTATAAAAAAAAAATAAATAAATAAAATAAAATATATATATATATATAAATATATACATATATATATATATATATATATATATATATATATATGAAAATATATAAATACACATACACGCATACATAGATGAAACAAAAATCTTTTGTAACGATGCATGCCTTCAGTGTCTTATTTTATAATTGTAAATAATTTTCCAAGCTATTTTATGGTTTGGGTGTATAATTAATATGCATTCTAATATGCCCATTTGGTGATCAAAAAACATCAGTATCAACGTTAAACACTAAAGAATTAAAAGAATTTAGTGAACTGTTAAAGAATACGAATTTCATATGTAATTTTTTATAATGTATTATGAGGCATTACATAATACACATGACAAAACAAGCAACAAAACAATAATTAACCAGCAAACTAGAAACTAGAAACAAACAAAAATAGTAAATAAATATTTAATGACGCTTTAATTTGAAATATACAAATATGAAACATTTATATGTCTTTAAGGATCACATTTAACATCCTTGCTAAATTATAAATCTTTTTTTTTAAAATACAATTAAAATATATGTAAATAAATAAAAATAAAAATAGTTAAAATACATAAATAAAATTAAGTAAATAAATTATTAAAATGAATGAATAAATAAACTAAAATAAACAAAAAAGTATATTAATTAATTAATTATAAATAAATTAGAAATTAAACAAAAATATATATTAAAATAAGAATAAAATAACAATTAAAAATAAATAAATTATAAATAAATAAAAAGATAAAAATAAATAAATAAATAATCCTAACAATAAATACATTAATTATAAATAAATGATAAATTCAAATAATTAATGAATTATAAATACAAATAAATAAATAATCAAAAATAAATATAAAATAAACATGCATATGGACCCACAGACTTTTAAATAGTTATTACTCAACATAACATCTGTCTTTAGTCTCAGCATTTATACAACATAATAAACACAAGCGCACCATGTTAAAGTGCTAACAGCATTATAATATTGTCGTAAAGACAGTGTTTCCTCTGTATGCAGAAGGACAGTCTGAATTAGTATTCACTGTGAGTAAATCAGTAATTCACCACTGTACCCAACTGATTGAAAACCACTGTCACTCCAAAGCAATCAATGCTCCATCACTCACATGAGGAGCATCTGTGCGTGTGTGTGCGTATGTGTGTGTGTTGCATGTGCACGTGTGTGGAAAATTAAAAAGAGCTGCATTACCTGTTCATATTGTGTCATAGCAAACTTCTGATGAGTAATGCAGGACTTGGACGTGCAGGCGTCAGTTTCAGCATCAGGCGCAATGTGCAGGTGAATCCTTTCTAGAATGTTCTCCTGTAAAAAAAATATACACGCAAAAAAAGTTTGTCATTTATTTTCAGTTATTTTATTTCAACAGGGACAGTGCTCATCATGACAGTGAAAACAGCAAATAAGCCAGATAAAATAAAAATATTAGTACATATTTACTTTACAATAAATAAATAAAAACAAATAAAAATCTAAAATCTAAATAAATAAATTCAAATAATAAATA